ATAATAAACATAAATGCTGGACAATCTGCAAATTAATAACTTTTTCTGAACCCATGGGAGAGCTGAGGCAGTAGGACAACCAACTACACAGAAGTCTACAACAGTACAGGAACCCTTGCTTACCTGGCACAGACTCCGCTGGATGGTAATAAAAAGAATCCAGCCGGAACTGTTAACAACTTGCTAAAGGCTGAGCGTGAGCCAGCAGGAGAACACAGAACGTATTCACAGCATATATAACAGAATATACAGCGGGCTGCAATATAAAGGAGTTCCCCGGACTTTCAGGCTCTTCTCAGGACCTCACGTGGTCCTCACCAAAGAAGGGTGAGAGTCCAGAGAAAGCATCCTTTTAGGGTCATTCTGGGTGCAGCCCTGGGGGAAAGAACAATAGCGACTGCAGGAAAGGTTTGTGTGAAAGGCTGCCTACCTCCTTCTCCCCTATTGTCCCTATGGAACACAAGCCTCAAACGTCTGGGAGGCAAAAACCACTGTTTCCCGTTGGGAAATGGAGAAAACCTATGTAGCTTAGAGAAGGGAAGAGGGGGAAAAATCACCTCTACACCTGGGGGAGGGCCAGGAACACTGCGAAGGCCACACCTCCAAACCAAGGGAGGAAGCGACCACCTAAGACTAAGGCTAAATCAGAGCACACCCCCCACTTGCCTCCCACCACCAGACTAAGAAGCACAGAGTAACCAGGACCAGCAGTGCCCCACTGCGAGAGGGATAAGAGAGTGCAAGGAGGACCTTCCAAGTTCCAGCACAAAGGAAAGACCTGAAATTGAAGTCCAAGCAGATACTGAGAAACAGAATCTGGCAAATTGGCCCCCACCCTAAAAACTAGGTAACACTAGAGGAATTGGAAGGCTTTGGTGTACCGAGGGTAACCAGAGCAACAATATGTAGTCAATATTACTCACAGTAACTCTGTGTAATTAAACATACTCACAGCATTCAATGGAACAAGTAGACAGACAATCAGGAGGGACAGAGAAGGCCTGAGCAAGGCTATCGACTGACCGAGTTAATCTAATTAACATTTGTAGAACACACCCAACTAGAGCAGAATACACATTCTTTTCAGGTACACGTGGCATTTTCATGAGGATGGACCATAAAATATCACAACCAGGTGAGATTGCAAGCCTGGAAATGCAAGCCTGCTTCAACTTTGAGAATCAAAATAATTTAGCAAATCAATAGACTCACAAAAAAAGTATATAATAGTCTCAACAAATATAGAATTTTTTTAAAAAGTATTATTTATAATAGCATACCTCCCCCTCCAAAAAAAAGAGAAATACTTAGATATAAATCTAAGAAAATATATGGAGGATCTGTATGTTCAAAAAATTTAGTGGTGTGAAAATATGATTACAACATAATATTGAATGACAAAAAGTAAGGTGCAAAATAGTATGTACTGTATGGTCAGAATTTTATAAAATAAACTCAAACCAAATATTTTTCCATAGAAAAAAGACTAAAAAATAATAAAGGCCTTTTAAAAAAATGTCTCATTGGTTTCTCATTCTTAAGAAGACAATCATGAAGTGTTTTAAGGAACATAAAATTGAAATTAATATAAACATTTGTAAAGCTCCTTCCTTTGTTGTCATCCGTTACTGTATAACGCACTTCAAGAAGTCTCTTTAGATCAGTTCCTTGGAACTAGTTCCATATGCTCTTAAAAACATTCATTGAAAATAAAGTTCTGTGGTCAAACAAGTTTGGAAAGCATTAATTTAATAAATTGCTTTCTTAATTGCAGATCTAATTCGAGCTGTCAGTATACCAGTGTCATTCTGGATCTTCAAGGGGGTATAGTTTGCAGAGTCTCCCAAATTTATTTGAATGCAGAACTTGTCGGGGGTTGTGAGGGAGAGAGGGGGAGGAAAAGGGAGAGGGGAGAGAGTTGTTTTGGCTGATCTTTGAAAGCAGGTTGCAGATATCATATTATTTTGCTTCTAAATGCTTTCGTATGTATCTCCTAAGAACAAGGGACATTCTGCTACTTATCCACAACATCACTGTCGCATCAAAGAAAGTTAGATTATTTCCCTAATAACATCTAATATCTAGTCCAAATACAAAATGCCCGTTTTCTCAAAAAATGTCTTTTATAGCTAGTTTTTCAAGGTTCTCATGTTACATTTGGTTGTTAGTTCTTTTTAATATGAAAACCACATCCTGCTTTTCTTATGATATTGATTTTTTTAGGAGACCAGTCTCACTGAATTGTAGCAATCCCACATTTTGTCTGATTATTTTTCCATGGTGTTCTTCAACTTGTTCCTTGATTCCATGTATTTCCTGTACATCGACACTTACATTTGGAGACTTAGAGTCAGGTTAAACATTTTGAGCAAGAACACGTCATAGATGATGCTGTGTTCCTCACAATGCATCATATCAGGAGACACACTGTGAGGCCATCCCACTAATAACACCGCTGTTTGATCTCTGGGTTCAGGTGGCGACTGTCGAATCTCTCCATTGCACAGGTACATTTTTCCCTTTGCTATCAGCATCTCCTCTATGAAGTGATACTTTATCACTGTGTGAATGTCCTGTTTCTCAACAACCTTCTAACTAATGGTTTTTGTAGTCTTTGATGATCTTTGCAAGTCTACCAGTTACTCCATTGGGTTTCTTGTTAATTTTTATTTACTTCTTTTAAAATTTCTTTATAGGAAAATTTACTCTTTGTGATGTACACTTATGTGAGTTTTGACAAAGGCAAAGAGTTGTGTTTCCATCCTACATTCAAGATACAAAATAGTTCCATCGCTCCAAAAAATTCCCTCACACTGTCCCTTTGTGATCCTAAATAAAGTTTTGTACCAAGTCTGTGCTGAGTAGCTTTGCGCTGACCTACCTGTCCCATAATATTTCATGTCTCACCTAGTAGTGATTAAACTCCTGTCTGCATAGGAATAACCACGAGAATTTGTTAAAATACAGACTCTGGGGCCCTACCCTCGAGGTTAGGATTCCTTGGCTAAGTCATGCTTCTAGTGATCACGATCCTGGCAGTACACTGACTATATGTGATACAGTGATTACTAGAATGGCCCCAATTCTCCACCTCTCCTTCAATCCATGCTTTTTGCAATGTGACTCTGCAGCTCCTCCCATGAAGAGGTGGAGTCTATTTCCCCATTCTATGAACCTGGGCTGGTCTTGTGACTTGCTTCAGAACAAAATACGGCAGAATTGACGATGCACCAGTACAAGCCTTGCTTATTTCCACACTCCCTCTTGGAACCTTCACGTTGAGGCCTTATGAATGAGCCTGGGCAGCCTGCTGGATGCGGAGAGACGTGCAGCCCAGTCTCCACCATTACCTCAGACAACAGTCAGGCAGGCATGTAAATGAGGTCATCCTAGAGCAGCCAGCCCCAGCTGATCACTGCAGACACCTCAGCACATCGGCCAAGATCACATAGCCTGGTCCAGCTGACCCACACACTCAAGAACAAGAAGAAATGTTTATTGTTTTAAGCTGTAGGTTTCATGGTGACTTGTTACACAGCCATAGATGACTGATACACCACAGTTCTGATACGCTTCACCTGAGAAATACTGATTTATCTCTTCCTCTGCATTTCCCTGCCACCTTCATAATTTAGGCTTTCATTTCTTGTTCAGACTACTGCAATAGTCTTCTGACTTCTCTCCCCTCTTGCTGTCATTCCCCACCTCCATGCACACTGCAGCTGCTAAGACTGTATTCCTTCAAGTGTGAAAGCAAGTTGTCATAATTTATGTATTCCCATCATCTAGCATAATGCCTGGTACCCCCTACAGGTGCTCAATCCTTGTCTGCGGAATGACTGCTGCCAGATTCATAAAACACAGCTCTGATCACATCACTCCCCCATGCAGAACTCTACTGGCATGTACACCATATACCAGATCCATTTTCCACTTGGTTATTTAATTTTAGGGCCTCTGTGACCAGGCCCCAGCCTAACTTCCCACTCTTCTTTCCCTTTTTCTCTTAATGCTCCATTCAAAAGTGAGAGCTGGCTAGCCACGCCCTTTACCTCTGTGTCTGTGCAGATACTGACTCCTGCCTGGAAGGCCCTTCCACATCTCTGCAAACTCTACACATTCTTGAAGGTCCAACTCAAATGCCACCTCCTCCGTGAAACTCTGATGGCTCTACTTAAGAAAAAGCTCTCCCCCTCTCACTGCCTCTAGCACTTAGCCTGAGCTCTCTTAGGCACCTGATATGGTTACTTGTGCATTATGGTATCTCCTCTACCAGAGACTGTGAACTTTTTGAGGACAGATTCCATCTGTCACCTCTCTGAATTCCTAACACAGTACGTGAAACATACTAAGACCTTAATAAATGCTTACTGAATCAATAGATGAGTTTTAGTCACTATTAAAACAATAAAAACAGTAACACCCAAAATCATAAGTCAAACTCAGAACAAAGATGGCAAAATAAATACAGTGGTTTTCATATATCAGTATGTAAAAGAATCTTCTGGAAAGCCAGTTAAAAATTCAAATTCCTAGGCTCTGCCCCTAGAGAGACTAGTTCGCGAGGTCTGGAAAGGAACCCTAAGTTTGACTTCTCATCAATCTCATTGATTTTGAGGAAGGTTTGTGGGCAACACTTTGATACACAGTGACATAGAGCCTGCTTTACAGATATGGATTACAAAGCAAACCCCTTTATTCATGCACCTAAGATTTATTTTTTAAGTTTCTTGACTTTAATGTCAAAGCATCGAGTGCAGCAGGCCTATAAAAAGAACCACTTTAACAATACATACATAGTCTGGCACCTTATTAGCTGAGGTTGCTGGGACTATGGCATCACACTCACTTCTTTGTAATCACAATCTGCACACATTTTTTCATCTACGCATCCTTTTTATAAACTATTTAAAGTTTAATTTGCTCCAAATACTCCTTTTTCAGATCATCTCACCATGTGAGGTATGCTTTAAAATAAGTGAAGGGTGCAAAATTCCTACCTCGGTCCAAAAGGCTGGCTCTTAATGCTCTCTCTAGCTGCTCCTCTTCACTCAGTCCTGCTGTGTATGCATCATAGTTCCTGGGTACTTCTTCATAGTGACCTGGCCTGCCATATGGATACGAATCCTGATATCCAGAGTAGCCTACAGGCACAATGAGAAGGTTAGAGAACACTGCCATGGACTGTTCTTTTCATACTTTCTATTTTGTAAGCAAAGACAATAACATAATTTATGTCATTATTTTGGGTATAGTAATAATCCTCAAAATAAGAAAAGATCACAAATGGAGAATGCCTCCAGGAGGGTGGGCAATGACTGTCTTGTCACTGTTGTATCCACAGTGCCCAACACGGGACTGGACATGAGTGAGTCTTTATGGGTTGAAGACGAAGAAGATATTAATTTAGAAGGTATGAGCAGTACTAGAGAGAAGACTGGAATAGGCTACTGATATATGGAGTGGATTCTTATAGTTTGGAGCTATTTAATACGTGCAGTATTTTCAATGAAGTCCTGACTGGAGTCAAGGGAATGGCTGAAATGATAGTGGGTAAAGCGTTACTGTCCAGTGGCTCCATACAATAACAGGCAGACCAACATTCAATACATATACTACAGAAATTCTGTGCTGGGTATGATACTTCGAATGGTGATAACTATGTTAAGATATACAAGCCAATGTCCCTGTAACTATAATTCTATGTCAGAGATCACAGTTTGTATTAATAGCACCCTCAAGAAACTGGTTGCTAGATAAAATGAGAGAAGGGACAGCTTGGTCATTAAATAATACTTTAAGTATCAAACATAGATACCCCATTAACAAAGGTCAATTACAGAGCAAAGTTCACTTCTGCGAGGCATTGCCAATGACCTTTCAAGTCAGTTTGAGTTTACTCCTTACATTTACTTTAACTGCCCACCTTCATGGAATTTGAAAGAGATTTTTTTCCCATAGAAGATTACCAATCTAATTCTGGTGTAATAAGAGAAAAGTAATAGTCATTTAATTTTTCCTCTTCTTTCCTTCCATTATCATACCCTTTGAAGATGATGTTTCAAATGTTTAATTAACGTGCTTTTTTTTGTTGATGAAAATTCCTACCCTTCACTGTGAGTCTAGTGTCATATGTCTCTATATCACCTAACATAGTACACGCCTGAATTTAAGCCTCTTATTGCTTTAATGAGACTAGAGAAAAAAACATAATCAAGCCAAAAAGAGAAACACTGTATGGTAGAAGCTGGTTAATTGAGATTTCATATTCAGAATTTTTGATAATGGGTCCTGAGGCTATTTTAAAATTTACTTTTGTGTTGGTTATGAATAAAATGCTTTTCTAATATACAGGATTAAAAGGGAAATAGTTTAACTACTTCTCATAAAAATTTTCAGGCACTCTAGAAGTCTTTACTTTCACATAAACAATGAAATGACAATAGAACACACTAATCTAGTTTCAGCTAATAAACTAATGTAATTATACATGTTTATATAAATATTTGTCATGTAAAGTACTTGCGTCTATTGGTTATGTTTTTATAGTAGCTTTAATGAGATATAATTGACATACTATATAATTCACCAATGTAAAGAGTTTAACTTGGGGCCGGCCCCATGGCTTAGTGGTTAAGTGCACGCGCTCCACTACTGGCAGCCCGGGGTTCTGATCCCGGGTGTGCACTGACGCACTGCTTCTCCAGCCATGCCGAGGCCGTGTCCTACATACAGCAACTAGAAGGATGTGCAACTACGACTTACAACTATCTACTGGGGCTTTGGCAGAAAAAAAAAAAACAAAAGGAGGATTGGCAATAGATGTTGGCTCAGAGCTGGTCTTCCTCAGCAAAAAGAGGAGGATTAGCATGGATGTTAGCTCAGGGCTGATCTTCCTCACAAAAAAATAAATAAAATAAAGTGTTTAACTCAATGGCTTTTAGTATATTCATAGAGTTATGCCATCAGCACCACAATCAACTTTAGAACATTTTCATCACCCCAAAAAAGAAACCTGTACCCTATAACTATCATATCCCCGTCCCTCCCAGTCCTAAGTACCACTAATGGTCTCTACAGCTATGCCTATTCTGCATAATTATATAAATTGAATCATACAATACATGGTGTTTTGTGTCTGGCTTATTTCATTTATTATAACATTTTCAAGGTTCATCCATGTTGTAGCATGAATCAGTACTTCATTCCTTTCCATGGCCAAATAACATTCCATTGTACAGATATATCACATTTTGTTTATTCATTCATCAACTGATAGACATTTGGATTATTTCTACCTTTTGACTATTGTGAATAATGCTGCTATAAACATTCATGGATAAGTTTTTATGGGGACATATGTTTTCATTTCTCTTGGGTACATACCTAGGAGTGGAACTGCGGGGTCATATGGTAACTCTATGTTTAACCATTTGGAACTCCCAGAATGTTTTCCAAAGTGGTTATACCATTTTACATTCATGCAAGCAATGTATATGGGTTCAGATTTCTCCACATCTTCACCAACACTTGTCATTATCTGTCTTTTTAATTATAGCCATCCTAGTGGGTATGCAGTGGTATCTGACTGTGGTTTTGATGACTAATGATGTTGAGCATCTTTTCATGTGCTTACTAGCCATTTGTATATTTTCGTTGTAGAATTGTCTATTCAGAGCCTTTGCCCACTCTTACTGATTATTACAATATTCTTCTATGTTGGTACTGTTTTACTGAATGTCCTTGAAAGTCACAAAAATGAATGATTTAAATAAACATTAAATAAAATTGCTCAAGATTTTAGGGGCTAATTCCAACAAGCCTTGCTCTTAATGTAGTAAAAATCAGTGGAGATTTACTAAATACCCCAATAAGCCAACTTCCATTTTCTCTCTCATGTTTCCCATGTCAGAATATTAACATTATGATATTTAAAAATGGAGAAGGATATCAGTAAATTTCCCAAATCCTCACAACGGTTTAGGGCTGAAGTGTGATCTGGATATAATTCTAAATATGGACACCCTTCCTCAAATTGGTCTCTATTCAATAGAAGCATCAGAAAAATTCAACTCCCACTGCTGTGTTGGGGAGTACCCACCAGCAAGTTTCATATCCTGAGAGTAAAGAAGACGGTGGTACTGCTACAAATCTTGCTTTTTACACTTCTCACCAAAAAAACACAAACCTTTCATTTAAGGGCAAATGGTCAAAACACAATCAATGTATCTATTTTACAAAGACCAAAAGAAAGGGACAACCATTCCAAAACATAATAGAATATTTATGGATAAGTCACTGAATACCATTGGATGCTTCAGCAATCCCTGAATAGAGAGACTGCCCAATTCCCTATGAGTGCCAATTATTTTATTGCAACACAAAAAGCATATTGGGCACTTTCCCATATGGCTCATTACCATTTTCAACACCCTGTGGAAAGTCATTCTGTTATAGAAGGTCTAAGCAGCATTTCTACCTATCTACCCTCAAAAATGTTCAGCTAATTCAAAATCCAAAATAACCCAAAAGCTCTGAATACCCATCTAGACAGATACCAGAAATATGATACACATCTAGAGAGTTTTTATTGCCAGGTAAATGTGCCACGATTTGCGGTAACATTTTCTTGATACAGAAAAACATTTTTCTTCATGTTATTTCTTATTTAAAAAACAACCCAGCAGTGCCTTAATGAAATGAGTCTACAACTCTAAACATCTGAATATTATAAAATCTAATTTGGTACTTGTCAGACAAAACATGCGGAGAGAGAAAGGGAAAGTTTTAGTGCCTTAAGTCAAAAAGACTAGTGTGGTTAAAGGGTCTATATCATCAGTCATAAATCATCAAGAACAAAAATCCCATAAATATCTACTATAATGAGAACAGGTCTCCCAGGACCAGAAATTTTCTACAGCTGCTCTGCTGGCCCAATCAGATATTTTTAAATCTTCATAGTAAACATGGCTGGAAAAACCTAACAATCAAACACTTAAGATAAGTAAGTTTAAATTATATCCCACAGTGAATACTCGTTTAATATTCTTTTGTCGCTATATACTTTGGCTCTGCAGTAAAAGAAATTCTGGTTATCATTATTCTGTTAACTACTCCATCTGCTCCTTATACACATACCAGGATTTCACGGCAAAAGAGATCAAGAAACACCACCAAGATTAGAAAAATTGGTAACAGCTTTTTAAACATTCATGAGGTTCTTTGACCTATAAAGACTTTTCCAGCTAAGGACAGCCATATTAAGAATAAATCGTTACTTGTAAGAGATACATATGCTCTCATAAAAGTTCCCTGGATGACCATTAGCATGGCCACCTGGCCTTATGTAGCTCTGCCTTTGAAGAAATCCAATCACTTCAGAGGAAGGAATATAAACATGGTCATCTTACAGGGGATAAGAAAGAAAGGTAAAAGCAGCTTTTATTTTTGCCTTTAATTCTCTGGTTTGTGTGTCTGCTGTGTTTATGTCTCTTCCATACAAAGGAAGAAAGGAGCAGGTTTCCCTTTTTTCTTTTTTTTTATAAGTGCAAACACAAACAAAAAAAGAAACAGAAGACAATAGGAGGAACTGCTGTATTTTGTAAGGTTAAATCAGCAGAACGTTCAATTCGTATCCCAGCACAACAGAAAAAGCAGAGACCAGGAATCAGTGACTTGCATTTTTAGTCTTAGTTTATCACTAACTGCCTGTATGATTTTACCAAATTACTTAACATTTCTAAATCTCAATTTCCCAGCTCTCACACAAGATTTAGGACTAGGAAATCTACGATAGTTTAAGCCATATCTGTGCACAAGTATGTTATTATTATTCTCTTTGTCCAGAGGAACATTCCCATTTCTTTTGAGGATTTAAAACATGAACCAGGAGGGAAGCCCTGTTTCCTCTAGCAACTTCAAGGTGTTAGGAGCCATGTCTCCTGCCTAGTGGAGAGTACAGTCAGCAGGAAGAGAGAAATCACAGTGGGACTTAGAACCAAAATGGTCTTCCTGTCCAACCCACCTCTTTCTTGTCACATAGACCAATAAAGTTCTTCTTATACTTAAGTCAGTGTCTCCATAACTGGTGTCCATAACCAACAACCAAAAGGACCCAATGCGCTTCAAATGACTATATTTATCG